CAAAAGGATGAAAAGTCTCGATCTAGTGCGAACGTCTGCGTAGTGTTAGTGCAACATTGTTTGTTTAGTGGAGTATAATCCTCGAATGAATAAGCGGAAGTGAGCTGACAAATATAATTTGGAATCAGGTAGGCGTTTTACTGGTTTCGCATGTTTCTGGACGGCATTAAAGTTTGATACTCATGTAGGATACCTTAGAAACAGAAATGTCTCAAAGGTTCAAAGGAGCAAGGGTGGAGAGTGTTAAGAAAGATCATTTTTATCGCGTATTTCAAAGGAGATGTTCCCATTAGTTATGGAGGGCGAATCATTGATTGAGATACACTGACTATCTAGGAAAGCTTTTTGAGATAAGACCATGGAAGCGGTCTTTACTTATCTGATCTAGGTAGAAGATATGATGCTTGTTCTACCCACCAGAGCTCATGCGATACCAGAAGTAATTATGTTCCCAGGTCAATTACTTCCAAGTGACTTTTTCCAGCAGTTATACACATTTGATGATTCGTTTTGCAAAATCCTTACCGAAGTAAACACTGGTTTTCTGGACACACCCTATTACTACAGCCGTGCGCTTTCCACCCGACGCCGTCGGCAGAGACACAGCGATGAGAAGCAAATAGTGATCTAAGAATAGAAAACAGGTCTGGCACGTGACCATAGCGCATCTTTAATGGTTAGGACCATAGCGATCATAAATCGTCCATCAACAGGTTCGACCACAAACAACCCGGCAAAACATAGTTCGGGCCCCCCTATGATAAGTAACGACATTCTAGTGATTAGTGCTTAGACTCGTTCACTTTTTCAAATTCACTTGACCTTGGTGTGATGACAGACAAAGGCCAACTAGTGCTCACCTGAAAAACATCGAGCTTATTCTGATCCTTCTTGATGGCAGCTTCCATGGCAAAGTGAAAAGCAGCCATACTCTTTGCCTCACGTCGCATTGATTTCAGCATAGGAAGGAGTCTGCAAAATGCTATAAATAAGGAAAATCATCTTTGATGATATCTAGATAAATAGGTACATTATAAATAGAAAGTCAGGTTCATTAGGTACAAAACTTTCGATATGCCGCGCTACAAATTTTTGAAGCCTTAAGGCATAGAAATGTCATCACCATTTCACAAATACCCTTTTTAAAGAAAAATTAGCTACAATCAGCTAAAAGGAGGGTCTTAGTAACAAAGCTCAAGATATCTAAAATTCGTTCACTCTTACTTGAGTCTTGTTCTTGCCTCCGCCGCATCTGAATCCAACGTCAAGGTGAAATTAGGTTTAAGTACTTTGCGAGAAATTTATTAGTTTCGGTTGGCAGAGACGAATACTTTCATTGCAATTCCTGTTAAAGATGTTCCGACAAAGATCACAACGGCACAAAGCATAGCTCACTGTAGAAGCATTCTGGTTTGTGTCAGGGTTCGAAGAAAAATAACTACACAGGCATAT